TAACCTGCTGCACCACCAGGGAGGGCCTAAGTATGTATTTTTATATGTATAATAGTATACCAATAATTCAATAATATAGTAAAAGTTACATAGAGTATGTTCAGTCTAACCAAAGGATTGAGCCTATGTTTTGTTTTTCATGTAACTTATTCACTCAATAGGGACTTGTGATCTTGAAAAACTTTAATGGATTTCTCTTTAATATGAATTCCAGAAGTGAGGGTGGAAGAACAGTAGCTTGAGTTTACAGGAGAGGAGAGAATGGTGGAGAACTTGTTTCTGATTTAGGGAATTATCTATTTTGATTAGATTAAATGTGTGCTGATTGGAGTATTTCTTTTATCTATAAATTGAGTGTATAATCTTTGAAGTCCTTATTCATTCTGATATTCTGAACATTTCTTTGGGTTTTATAGAAATGAAATTCCTTTTATAGTAGTAAAGTTTACATCTTTTCTATAAATTTTATACTCTTTGTTATCTTTCTTGTTATTCATAATAATCTCACATATTTTTTCCTCATAGGCACTTTAAAATTATTTTTTTCTCTTCTAAAAGCTTTGGAACTCATTAGCTTTCATTCTCATTATTTTCCATTAGTAGGGGTATTTCAATTAATATTTTCAGCAGAGAAAGTTCATGATCCATAACTCTAATTTCCAGACTTGTGTTATCTCAGGAAGTAGACATTTCGGTTATGTTTGATAATGACTACAGTGATGATCATGTTTCACCAAAGCATCTAAAGTCAATTCATCAGTATAAAACATTTTTTCACGTAAATGCTTTGGATAGTGATTAGATTGAGGGAAAGGTCAGATATAACTAAATTTTGCCTTCCTTGGATTCACTATTATTGGTGTCTCAGTGTTTCACTGCCATCTAGAAAACCAGAAGTAGAAAAGAGAAATGTCATGGCAGGTGACTGTATTTGTGTTTCTAGAGATGAAAGAGAAGAGGCAATGTAAACTGATGAAAAGTTTATTATTAATTATTATGCAGTACAGTTTTCTAGCTCCTATATCCTGGAGGCCATGTTAATAAATTCAAAAGTAGTAATACAGAATATCACTTGTGGCAAAAATGATACAAATACTTTGAATTTCTGATGACAAAACATTATTTGCTCAGGACATGGAATGTATTACAATGTTATTAGAGAAATTTTGGCTCCATAACCATGTCTGTAGCTCCCTGGGTAGATTTATCAATAATCAATTCAAACAAAAATCTGGAAAGTTCAAAATTTGAGTCATAAATTTTTAAAAATTGCTCAGTATACTTGAGAGCACTCAATCACTTTGTCCTATATTTCTGAATATAGTGCCAAATGTTATTGACTTCTTCCATTTATGGTTTTCTAACCAAAGAACTCAGTGATTATGGAGCCTTACAAGAAACCTTGTACCAAAGAAAATGAATAAATCATTACAGTTAAAGTAAAAGAACACACATACCCCACACCAAAAATTATCACATTACATATCTTAATTTCATGTTTTGTATGTCATTTCTTAATTAGTTACTCATATTGAGTTAGTTTCTACTAGCTTCAAGTGATTAATCGAAGTAATAGCGCCTTTGTTCTAGAACATATTCGTAGAGTGGGGTTTTGCTATCCAAGTAAAAGGATCCCGAGACTGTTTTCTCCCTTTCATGGTAAATTCTGGCTTTAGAGTTTCCTGTTTGCTTACCATCCACACCCTGACTATATCTACTGATACTTCCTGACAAACAGGCTCCTGACTCTTTCTTCTGCCTCCCCCTACTCCAGGTGTCTGATGAATACCTCTGCCCGTATTCTTCATTTCCCACAGAATCGTCTGTTCCTGTAAAGTGACTGGAAATGGACCTTTGATTTATGTTACTGATGTCAATTGAAGGACCTGTCACAGCTGCATTAAACTCTGACTGCTCAGGTTTAAATACTGATTGTTCATGAATCTGTTTCCCCCAATCCTCTGAATTTCCTTTACTATCACAATGGAATCCCTGACATTTAGTAGAATTAGATACTGAAGGCCCATGAATTGATGTTGTTTGAATATGGGAAAACACAGAGTGTTTCTGTAACTGGCTATAAGGAAAACTCTTATTTCCAGATTGAACATGGGAATCACTTGACTGTTCATGAGTTACTATTGAATGCCCATGATTAGATGCCTGCCTTCCAGATGTACTGGAATGAGCCTGATTTTGGGAACCATGTGACTGCTCATGGTCTGTCTCTAATTGTCTATGACTCAACTTGTGTCTTCCTGTACTTTGAGCAACTGATAAGGTATGCTCAGAATTAGAAGAAGCAGAATCTCTACCTCTAGAAATATTTTTGGATGCAGAACTATCTTTTGAACTCAAAGGACTTGAATTGTGGTTACTGGTCCTACTGCCAACAGAAGGTCTATATGAATACTGACCATAATCATAATCTGCACGTCCATAGCTGCCATGTTTCCAAACCTGGCCAGAGCCAAGTTTTGGAGTTCCAACAACCTGTGACTGAGAATGACCAATCTGAGAACTCACATGATTGCTACTTGAATCTGTCCTTCTTTGACCCCCTAAAGGAATTGTATGACTAGAAGCAAGACCCTCTGTTCTTCCATATTGTGAATATCCGTGAGAAGAGGCCGGGCCTCTTCTATGACTTGATGTTTTCACATGCCCAGTTCCAGCATACTCAGTAGAGGATTCAGGAATTTGATGAGTTATTCCCGAGTGTTCCCTACTGTCACTGGATTCACTCTGACTAGATCTACTTCTTCCCTTTATACTGGAGCCAGAGTGTGCATTTGGTTCAACACCAGCTGGACCATGAACACTTGTATGGCTTGAGTTTCCATGAGTGGATCCCTCTGTTCCACTACTTGTCAATCCAGTTTCTACATGCTGAGATCCTGGATGGCCATGGAGGGACCCTGAGTGTGTCTGCGAGGCTCCCGAGTGCCTTTCACTGTCACTTGACTGACTCTGAGTAGATGCCCTTCTGCCACTACTGGAGCCTGATTTGGTGGCTTGTCCATGAGTGGACTGGGAATGCC